TCCTAGTGGACAACCACTTAAGTATGAGCCAGCAGTGTGCTGCTGCTGCCAAAACAGCCAATGCTGTCCCAGGCTGCATCAACAGAAGGATAGTATCAAGATCACGTGAAGTCTTAGTACTACTGTTTTGGTAAGACTACCCGTGGAATACTGTATCCAGTTTTGATCACCACAATACAAGAAAGATGTTGAGATGCTGGAAAGAGTACAGTGAATAGTAATAAAGATGATTAGGGGGCTGGAAGCTAAAAGAGTTTCAGGAATTGGGTATGTCTAGACTAGTGAAAACAAGGATTAGAGTGTTCCAATATTTGAGAGACTGTCACAAAGAAGAAGGGTCAACCTATTTTTCAAAGCATCTGAGGGCAGGATCAGAAGTAATGGATGATATCTTACAATCAAACCTAGAACTAAACAGAAATTTCAGTGAGACAGTGAGAACAATTAACCAGTGGAACGGGTTGCTTCCAGAATGGATGCTCAATTACTACAGATTTTTAAGAAGAGATTAGACAGCCATTGGTCTGAAATGGTATAGGCTCTCCTCCAAGCTCCCTTCCAAGTCTGTTATTCTGTATTCTGCATTCTGAATGTGGGAATCAGTCTTCAAACAGCCCTTGCCTCCCTCCCACAAACTGAGCATCAGGAACAGTTGCAATAATCAATGCAAATTTACTGGTTGTTTAATCTTATACTTAAGCCATCAACACTCTGAATCACAGGTATGTGTCTTGCATTTTAGTGTACTCAAGGTAGAAATCTTATTGCCTTCTTTATCAGCAAGCCTGTACTGAACCACATAGCATCTCTCTCCTCTTCCAGAGATCACCTTAAACTCCCAGCCTACCCCTAATGAAAAACCCAATTATCTGTGAAAATTCAGAAATATTCTGGTAACATCTTTTTTCATTAAATTGCAAAAGTAACATTTAACTGATACTTTTAATTTTTCTCACATGTAGCCTGCATCTACACAATCACTTTGCCTATCTTCCCTCCTGTACAGCCTCAACCCAATTTAAATCTTACATGAGCCTAGCTAAGGCATGTTCAACATTTTGGCTTGCCTGGGCCGTACTGAGTGAAGAGGAATTGTCATGGACCACATATAATATATGTATTTTAAGACTATATATATTATATAGTATAACATTAAGGTGACCAACTTTTTTACAATGAAAAGGAGGACACAAATAAATTGAAGAAAAAAAACAAAGCCAGTTGCGCGCAGCACACTCTTGCACATGGCGCATTCTTGCGTACAGTACACTCTCTCAAAACAATTCTCCTGTGTGAAGCGCATGTGTCTCACAATCGCGTCTCGCCGCACTGTACCGAGCCTTGACGAATCGCCATGTCAAATACAAATACGTCATATCACACACAACGGATCGGATCAGCATCAATCAAATACAGAGATTTACAGATTAGTCTTCAAATATCAAAAAGGGGGACATTTAGGAGGACACTTTTCGAGAGAGGACAGAACTTACAAAAGGAGGACTGTCCTCCCTAAAGGAGTACGGTTGGTCACCTTAATAACATTGAATGTTTACGATTTTGTGGGGCTACATTACTAGCTATCCAGGGTCTCATGCAGCCTGTGAGCAGTGGGTAGGACAAGTCTGGTCTAGCCATTTCATTGCATCTGATGAAGAGAATGAAAGCTCATGATTTATATATTTTTTAAAATAAAAATGCTTCCTGACTCCTCCTGATTGCTTGTTACCATATACTAACACCCTTCTTTTCATACAATATCTACAATCTACTGTAAGTTCCGCAAGATAAAGATTTCATTATTCCCTCTTTCCTCCCAAACAAACTTGCTCAGTTTATTAACAGTGGAAAAATGAAGGAGGGAAAATGTCTGGGAGAGCTATTATAAATCTTTGTTAATATTTATAATGTGTCACATTTTCCCCTCATCCTTAGAAGAAATATAGTCATTCCTGTTGCACTTTCTTTAAAATACAGTAATAGTCAGTACAGGCCATTAAATTACATCTAGGTGACCAAAGATACTCACTCCTTGTTTCAAAGTATTTGATATTGGAAACACTTAGTCACCTTTTTTTGGTTCAAATTTTCTGCTTGATTAATTTTCTTCTCTCCTTTTTAAGAATTCATGTGTGAGGAGATGCTAAAATTTCATATGGTTTGGATGGAGTAATACTGGGGGAAAGTACAGAATACGTTTGTAGGAAGGGCTACCTTAAGTCTTCCTGACTTAAGGTAGCCCTTCCTACAAACGTATTCTGTACTTTTCTCAGAAGTGAAAAGATATCCGGGAAATATTCATATCCTTCAGCAGGTATAGCCTTAAAAATCAAATGTCTTGTTTTTTTTAGTAACGTGTATATATGTGTATATATGTGAGCATGTTTTGAATGTTAGACTCTTTTCATAACAGTAGTCATGCAAACTTTTGTGTATTGTGTTTATTTCCTACATCCACAACCTTGAATTACATTTCCTGATTCCAGCCACTGATTTCAATTCAACTCCTTCAAATGTATGATCATTCTATAGGTAGTTCTTCCTTACCAATGATAATTTGGATTAGTAAGTTCATCACTTAGAACTGAAGTTCTGACAGTCCTAGTTGCTGTTATTAGGTGAATGCCATACTCTCATACTCATGTGATCTCCATTTGTGACCTGTGATCTTCCCCATTAGCTTTTGTTGTTAGAAGCCAATAAAGATCTCAAATGCCAAGGACCCTAAAGGATGCTGTGAGGTCATAACTGCAAGCAGTTGCCAAGGACCCAAGTTGTTATCACATAACCGCAGGGATTTTATGACAGCCACAAACATGAAGGCCCAACGTGAGTACCCCTTGTACAGTGTTGTTAATGTCAAAAAGTTGCTGAATGAGTGGATGCTAAATAAGAACTACCTATAGTCTATAGAACACGACTCATTATGGTAGATGAAATTTGAAAAGCTCATTGCTAATACTATATTGTTGCTAGGATATGTTCTTGAAATTCTTTTGGAAAATATTGCAATTGAACAATATTGCTGGCAGAATTCCCTATATTTGTAGGCCTAAATTCAATTTTGCAGGGTTTTTTCTTTGCAATTTTTGTCACAGATATCATGAAAGTTGAAGAGTTAGTGTCCCACCTCCCCCATTTGTATTTCTTTCCAATTGTCCTTTTGCTTGTTCAGGTATCTGGTAACCCTAGGCTGCACAAATCCAGACCAGGCCTAGATGGCAGAAGAATTAGCTTTCTTTATTTGTTTTCTGCTATCTAGTGGCTGTTTTCAGGCCTGGTCTGCTAGAAAAATTTCAAGAGAGCTTTTTTTTTGGTGGCTGTTGGTTTTTTTCTTTCCATCAACATTTAGTGTAGTGTTGGACTTCAATTTCCCAAATTCCCCATTCCATACATCTTGATCTCACTGAGGTTGAGAAAAAAGATGATTGGGGGAGAGGAAGAGGAGTTACTGAAGGCAGGATCCCCGCTAAATATGCACCCCTCATTCATCACGATAGAAAGCATTCTATCGTTTAAGCAAAAAGGGAGGAATGAAGGAAAGTAGTAATAAGGATATAATCAATAAAAGTAGTATATATTATAATAGCTTTAGTAGAAACTTGTTATTCAAGCATTTACTTGTTATTCTATAAAATTTGTTCTCTGTAACACAAATACCCTACATTATGCCTCTGTATCTTCCTGTATTAAGGCATATCAAACATATCCTCCTGCTATCTGAATCTATCATAATTCTTACCCTTGTTTCATCTAGAGACTGGCACATATCTCAAAGGGCAGACACACCTGTATTGCTAGTTCCGTGTAGCAATAGGGGGCCAAGTGGTTAATTGGGAGAACAAAGGAATGCCCCAAGGATGAGATAACACTGGTGGGAAGGCATCTATCTTTTACAGGACCATGAAGAAGATGCAAATCTAGGTTAGGAAGCCGGAATTAGGGGATAATTAGGAATTATTATAATATAATAATTAGGAATTAGGGATAAGCTAATGGTATAAAAAGAATCCACATCTTCTCTTAGATGTAGCTTTTCTCTCATATCTCTTTTGTATATCTTTGGAAAGGTTTACCCAGAATCTTTGCTTTGATCAAAATAAAGTCTGATTTTTGTTTTTCAAGCCTCTGTTTAAATCCTTATTTTGGCTCATTGTGGGCTTAAGCGTATTGCCAGACCTTACAAATCTTTTATCCAAAGCTGAGGCTTATTGACCTTTTCCATTGATACTAATCATAATCAACTGTATACATTTTCGCAGGCTTTGATTTAATAAGCAGAGTCCTATGCAGAATGCTCCAGTGTCAAAGAAGCATTATTGTGCTCCCTAATGAATACAAATAAAATTGCTGTCTATATCGAGTTGAAGATCTTTTTTAAAAAAAAAACAAAAAACAAACTACAACAGAAACTTCAACAGAAATAGCCTTAGGCGTTCCCTGGCAGGAAAAAATGTCGTTTCCGATATAGTTTTTGGCATCTACCGCAGTACTTAATTCCTCGTGGGAATTCTTCGTGGCCAGAAGTTTGTTTGTTGACATATTACCAGTCAGAGAAGTGGGTATGCATATCCGGAGCGGGACATCAGAAACGGAAAGAATAGACTCTGCCCATGTCCAGAGGCATTCTCGTTCCTTCTTATTTAGTACACATTTTAAGACTAATTTTATCACTGAGAACAGATTCTCCTTCAACCACAGCCTCTAATTGCTTTTACCCCACCCCCACCCCCCCAAGCGACCAATTCGAGAAACGAGGTAAAGGAGAAAGTAAGCCTGGGAACCGGAGAGAAGAGGGTGGGCGGAGATGAAATCGCGGCGCTTGCCGCTTGAAGCCGACAGGGAGCGCTTTTGTCCCTGCCGCTGGCACCGAGGACCCCGCCTGGGCTCCGCCCCCTGCTCGCTCGGTCGCTGCCTTCGGCTCAGGAGGCTCGCACCCCCAGGCGGCGGTTCCCTCCCAAGGCAGCCTTGTTCCGCCCTTTCGCGCGCCGGGACTCCCGGGCGAAGGATCGGCGGCGGCCGCGCTCGCGTCGGAGAGGGCATGGCGGCTCCGGAGCGAAGGGCCTTCGCGCACCGTATTAACCGGTGAGGGAACGGATGGACGCCCGCGTGCATGCAAGGGCAGCCCTCTCGCGAGGGACAAGCAGAGGGGGAGGCGAGACACGAGGGTTCAGTTGCGGCAAGAAGCGTTTTTTCGGGCAGCTATAAGACCCTCGCCTCCTGAGGAGTAATCACCCCGCCCCCAATTCTTCCTTCGGTCTCCTCTTTCTCCCTAGTTGAGATTCGTGGACTCCCATTCCTTTGAGCTATCAAGGGCACCCTTGCAAGAAGTCCTATCAAAGTCCACTTTCTGTGTGGACTTTTCTCAAGTCTGCAACTTGGAAAAGGTGCCCAGAGGGAGGGAAGATTTTTTGCCCTGATCATCTGAACCCAATATTTAGGTATTATCGGTTATTCAGATGTTCGTTCAAATGTGTACTCCCCAGTATAATTGATTTTCTCTGACTTGCAGATAATCAGAGTTGGAAGGGTCCTTGTAGGTCATCTAGTCTCAATGTTCTTTTTCAGCATCATCAAATAGCCCTTCATTTCCTTGCCCAGCTGTCTTGCTAAAACAAAGGGAAAGAGGAAGCACATCCTTCACTTATTTCATTGAGCATGGATAGGCACTTAATGGCAAAATCATTGTCCCCACCCTTTGAGGCAGATTTTGAGCCAGTGCCCAAAATTTAATGGTTGTTCTAGGTATAATAGTTCTCTTGTGCACATCTAAATTGGTCCATCTGGAGCTTGGTTTATTTTTAATTATTTTTGCATTGTTATCTATAGAATCAACAGGCAGATTTTTTTTAAGGAGATTGTAGTCTATAATTATTGGTGGAGGGACATGGAACTGATGATAGAAGAAAGCTGTACTTTATTATCAGTTATGTGCATTGTAATACCCATTTTCAGAGAAGGGCTCTTCAATCCTTTTCTAGGATAGGCATAGAAAAGGGAGTACCTAACCAGCCTTTACGAGTTTTATGCTTCATGAAGAGACTTCGAATGAGTACCTCATGATCTTGGCCTTCACAGAGAAATCCCTTTATTTATTTGTTATATTTCCATTCCAGCTTTCACTCAGGAGTTCAAGGCGGTGTACATATTGCTCTGTCATCCTGTTTTCCCCACAACCACCATCTGTGTAGTAGGTTGAGCTTAGGGTGGGCTAACCTCAATCACCTAGTGAGTTCTAAAGAGAGCTTTTTACCTTGTACTTCAAAGAGCATGGCTAATATCTGCCTTACAAGTAGTTTTCATGAAGATGACAATTTAGAAAGTTTTCTATTACTGTACAATTCGGAGTAGTCATTAATAAGGAACTAAAATGTGTGTTACATCTTTGTAAGCCTCTAATGCTGTATATAAATTGTTTATACTTTGTAAAGAAAGAAAACACGAGTTTTTCTTGTTCTGACCAGGAAGGAACTTAAATAATTGTGCTAAGGTTTTCTTTCTTTTTTACTTTTTGTTTCATTATTTTGCTTTCTTTTGAATAATCAATGGAAAGTTCAATCAATTATTTTTGGATTGAAACACTGAAGTTATTTATTGGTATTATCTGAATAGTTCTCATTTTGATCTTTTCCTCTTGCTGATTATTTTTGCTCTTCCTTCTTTTGCAGTTCATTTACAGTTCTAGACTATTAATTATTAGCAGGCAGGTACATATGTTCATTCTTCACTTTGGAAGGCAAGAGAGAGAGAGAGAGAGAAAGTGCATGTGAATGAAACTTTTGTTCTCAACTCTATTTAGAAATGCAGGTACTTATAATTTACTTCATCTGCAACATTAAGTATAGTATTGGAAACCATGCTTAATGATGGAAGGCTCTCTGAATCTAATGTGAAAATAATTATTTTGGCTTTATGATAAGCTGTGCATAAAAAAAATCTTAGTCCTTCAGCTGAAAATGTTAGGTTTCAGAAAAACGGAATTTTGAGCTCTTTAGAAAAATTGTAGGATATAATGTAAGTATTGATTTTAAGAGGAGTTTAATATCTGATGTTCTCAGTAAAGTAAAAATTTCAGGATGTTCTTTTTAAAAAATGATTTCCATTTCTATTGCTTTGCTCTTATGTTTCTGGAGCACTGTTTTCATTTATAAAAAAAGGAAAAGGTTTCCCTGTCTGTCGTGAGGGTGCTTATCTCTTTTTGTGGTCATATGGCCAGCATGGCTATACACCTAAGGCACACAGAATGCTGTTACCTTCCCATCAAAGTGGTCCCTATTAATCTACTTACATTTGCATGCTTTCAAACTGCTAGGTGTGCAGGAGCTGGGGCAAGTAATGGAAGTTCACCCTGTTGTGTGGAGCTTGGGATGTCAGTTCTCCAGCTGACAAGCTCAACATCTTTAACTGCTGAGCCACTGCACCACCTTTGTCTTCATTTATGCAAAATCTATAAAGTACTTGCTAGGCACCCTTTTTTTGAACTATTACCATCTGGCAGATGGTACCGGATAATAAAAACAAGGACAAATAGGCTGAAAAAAAAGCTTCTATCCCAGGGCACTAGGATAGTTGAATTCTATTGAATTCTACCGGGAATCGGCAACGTGCAGCTCCAGAGCTGCATGCAGCTCCAGAGCTGCATGCAGCTCTTTGGGCCCTCTCCTGCGCATGATCCCACCGCTAGCTGGCCTCGCCCTCCCCTCCCACTCACTCCTCTCCTGCCCTGAGAAGGGTGATGGTGGTGGATGGAAACTAGTTCCAGGGCGGGAGCAAAGCACCCCTCTACTTGCCTCTTTTTCTGGCCCTTGTTGGTGCTGTTTGCACCTCGGCCACTGGGGGAGACCTGCGACTTTCTGCCCCGAGACACTGGCTGGGCCGGCTGCAGCTGTTGCTCCACGTGGTAATGGGCTCCAGGAGGAAGAGGAGGGGACGCAGTCTCCCCCATTGTGAAGCGTACTAAGTGTGCTGCGTGAGGCAAAGCCATGGAGGCGGCAGGAGCAGCAGTGTCAGTGTCTCAAGAGAAAGAGAGAAAGTTGCGTGTCTTCCCATATTCCTCTTGCCACCTCCATAGCTGCTTGCTGCTCTTGCAGCACTTTGCGCAGCACACTTAAACTTAGCGAGGTGCGCACACAGGGGTGGGATTCTATCAGCTCGCACCTATTTGCTAGAACCGGTTGTTAACATTCTAAGCAGTTCGGAGAACCGGTTGTTAGAAGAAATTACTGGCCTAATCCTGTAAGGAAGGCAGGAAGGAAACATTCTGGTGTTGCTTACAGAAACTGCCTCTCCGTTAACCCTTATTACATTCTTGGCAGGACTGGACTTCCTGTCTCAGGAACATCTCTGGAATTTTTTTCCCCTCCTTTGCTGGTACTTTGCTTGTGTGGAGTGACCATTCAAAGTTACAATGGCACTGAAAAAAGTGACTTATGACCATTTTTCACACTTACAACTGTTGCAGCATCCCCACAGTCATGAGAGGCCAGGCGAGGAGATGCGTGCCTCGATGTGAATGATATTGAGTTGGTCACGCCCATCCAATAACATGACCACCAAGCCATGTCCACCCAGTCACATGACCACCAAGCCACGCCCACCAACTAAGCCACATACACAGAACCGGTTGCTAAAAAATTTGAATCCCACCCCTGTGCGCATAGCATCAAGAAGGCCTGGAAAAAGAGGCAAGCAGAGGGGCACTTTGCTCCCACCCTGGAATACAGAGGGAGCCCCCATCTGCTGCCGTCGCACTTCTCTTTTCAGGGCAGGCGAGGAGTCAGTGGGAGGGGAGGGCGAGGGGCAGGGACAGCCAGTGGTGGGTTCAGCCGACAGGAAGCCACAGCAAGGGGACGAAAGAGCTTCATTTATCTGGGAACCTGAAATAATTGGATTTAAAAATGAGAAAGAAATGAGAGAAAGAGAGAGAAAGGGAGAGAAAGGGAGAGAAAGGGAGAGAAAGGGAGAAAGAGATGAGATGAGGGAGAGAAAAAAGATGAGAGAAAGAGGGGAAAAGGGAGAAATAGATGAGAGGGAGAAAGAGAGAGAAAAAGAGTGGGAGAGTGAAGAGATGAGAGAGACAGAGAGAGGGGAGGAATACCAGTTTCCCAGAGAAAAGAAAATATTGGGAGCCACAAAACCTGGGTAGGCGTGGCTGGGGGTGTGTGTCATGTGACTGGGTGGGAGTGAGTGACCATGCCCACCCAGGTTTTGTTTTCTGTGGGAATTGGGTCCAAATGGCTCTTTGAGTGCTTAAGGTTGCAGACCCCTGGTATAGTGCAATATTAATGCAGTATCAGGGGTTTTCAGTTCAATGTATAGAATGTGAAGGATGTTGTGTTTGAATTTATTTTTAGAATCATAATGTACACTGAAGATGATATTTAATTTAGTTGTACAAGGTGCAATGACAATAAAGTAAACTAAACTAAACTTTCATACTGGGTAAGATTTCTACTAGTGTCTTTTTTGCTTAGGCTTCTATTTTATTGTTAATGAGGGGTCTTCTATGTGTGTCAATCAAGAATAGATAGCAACTTATTCTTTTTAAGTAAGGATACAAATATCAAATATCAAAGAGAGATAAGCTATAGCCCGTAGGTTAGATAAACCATAGTCTGTGGTCAGCCAAACTTACAAATCTCAAATGATCCAGTTTTCCATTCTGGAATATATTTTTTTATTTTATTTTTTGCCTGGATGTGGGTTTTTTTTTGCCAGGTGTTAGCTATAGCTAATAGCTATAGTTATAGCTATTTTTCATTTTTATTTGTTTATAATATAAATTTCAAAAAATACAAAGACAAATAGTAGGGAAAATAGGGGAGGGAAAGGTGAAGGGAAGAGTGCAGAAGAAAAGGGAAAGAAAAGGCATTGACTTCCAACTCCCCTTTGGTGCAATAAAATAAGACAGTAACACAAACCTCAACTTTTTACTTTTACATAGTAGTATAAACTAGACATTTCTATATCAACAAATTCTATACAAAAAATCTATCTAATCAGTAAAACCCAAAATCAAAGTTTCATTTTTTTCCACCGAAGTCCAGAAGCAGTTTCCAAGTAGAAACAAAAGTACTTGTGTTTTT